TTATGTAATATAAAATTATGCAGTGTAATGTAATAGCAAGTTACACTCATTCAATTAGTGCAAGGTGAAAAAGCCTACCAATTCCAAGCGTTGGAAGAAAGGCAGATCCCATTCTAAGGAAAGTGAAGAGTAGAGGCGCCCAACAGTTTGTTTCTCTCCCCTGCGGTTGAACATTCATTCACACACCCATGGCCCAGCAACTGTGCCAGATCAAGAGAAATTCTTATGGTTGTGCATGCAGCGTTACAGTCAACAATACTGAAATGGCAGGAAGTGGCCAAGTGGTAGGTGAAGGTTACTGTCCAAACCCTGGCTTTTGTTTTGTTTCATAGGTGCTTACTATATTACCTGAAATGTCTAATTATCAATGAAATAAAGTAGACGGGAAACTCTGCTGAGTGTGTCATTGATGGAAGGTTATTAGTTACCCAGTTTCTCATATCTGGGGTCCTAGAAACACCCAAAGAACGAGAGAAAAGTAAGCAATAAACAGAAATGTGGCACAGATCATACAACGATGCACTGTGGGCCCAAGGCTCAGGCTGACTACTCTTCTCTTCTCAAGCAGGGACACAAGTAGCACACAGTGCCCCTGTCCACTCCTTTCCTAAGGCTCTGGGGCATGGCTGGAACTATGGGCCTGTTTTTCCCAGACTGTACAGAAAGGCAGGAAAGAGGGTAGCAATCTAACGGCTACTACTGGACAAGGGAGTCCTGGCCCTCCAGAGAACAGCTAGAGCCACTCAAGGGGTTGTTCTAGTCTCGGCCTCCGGTCCCGTGGGGGTGAGCACTGCAGCTGGGGGTGAGGTCGATGAAGATCACAGTGACAAGCCTCTCCCGTTGCTTACAAGCCAGGATTTACCAGCGTCTTTAATACGACCTTTATGATGACCTACGAGGCATTGATTATTGTTATTTCCGATTAAAGAGAAAGTAATTTGAGTACAGCAGGGGTGGCACATGCCTAGGATTCCGGCTGCTTTGAGATGAGGTGGGATGATAGTGAGTTTGAGGCCAGCTAGGGCAACTTAGTGAGACCCTGTCTCCAAAATAAATAAATGCAAATGAAGGTAAGATGACTGAAAGAAAAAGCTTTCAGAACTTTGCCCATGGTCATACAATTAAGATGAAACACGGAAGATCCCTAAGCCCAGCTCTTGCCTGATTCATTGCCCATGTCCTTAACATGTAAGACACATGCATACCTGTAGATACACAAGTCACAGACAGGCACACATGTACACACACGTGCACAGGTGCAAAAATGCATAGAGAAAACTCTCAGACATGTATAGACACACATGTATAGACAAGTATATAAAGATACACATCACACATATGTCTAGACTAGACCTATGCATATATAGATGCACCTTCATACACACATAGGTACACCGTGTGCGTTTGCATGTAGATACATATCCTTATACATATGTATAGACACGTAGGTATAACTACATATTTATATGGACATGTACATGTTGGGTAGATGTGCAATCACACATGTATGTACACACTCATGTACATATATAGACACTTGCACATGCATAGGTACCATGTGTGATTCACAGTCACACAGATATGCAGAGATACACAAACGCACATACATTTATAGATATAAACACTTATATACATAAGTACTGATATCTATTCATACACACATATGTACAGACACACACTCATATAGACAGGTGTGTAGAAACACACACATACATATGCACATACTCATGCACACACAGAGATTTGCCATGCACATATGTGCTCAACAAACACACACACACATACACACAGAATGCTAGCTTTTCCAGTGTTGCTCAAAAGATTTACTAATTAGCAAGGGATGGTGGCACACACCCCCAGTCCTAGGTATTTAGGGGACTAAGGCAGAAGGATCACAAGTTCAATGGCTGAGGGTATAGCTCGGTGGTGAAGTGCTTCCTAGCATACACAAGGCCCTGGGTTCAAATCTCAGTGCTGCCAAAAAAAAAGAAAGAAAGAAAGATTCACTACCTGTCATTAAAACTTTCCATGCCATTTCCTTCTAGTAGGTGTAATGTAGAGCTGGTCACACAAGAGTGACTGATGTAAGTGTGACTGTCCCGGAACACCTGTCCCCATATTCACTCTGAACTCCTACTTTGCCTGGACAGTGCCTCCTCAGCTGGTCCCGCTCCACATCAGCGCCCACGGGACGGGAGGCTCTGGTCAACCACAGGTCCTGCTCCTCTGGAGGGAAAGGCGCATATGCGTAGGTGGCAGCCAAGGGTAAACCTGGAGGAAGCTACTCAGCCATTATTTGAAATCAGATCTTTCTGCTTGTGTGGTGTGAAACACCGGATGAGCAAAACTGTAGCTTTAGCCGGGTGTGGTGACGCACGCCTATAATCCCAGCACTCTTGGAGGCTGAGGCAGGAGAGACCTACTGGGCTACAAAATGAGCTCAATGCTGGCCTGAACTACATAGCAAGACACTGTCTCAGAAAGACAGAAAGCAAACTAACAAACAAGCCCCAATACCCTGCAGCTTTATTTCTGTTAGTATGTAATGGATGCAGTGTGGCTCAGAACTGGTGTTTACTGAATGGTAGCCACGACTGCGAAAAATAACAAAACAACTCTTATCCTTACTTTATGGGGCATCTCGTTCTGCTACAGTTGGCTTTTGTTATCTGACTTCCTAAGCTGTTCAATTTGGGGGTCTGCCCTCAGAGTGTCGAGATGTGAAGATGTCCAGGGGCTGAGAATTCAGCTACAAGAACATTCTCTCAGATTGAACTACGGGAGGCTACGGAGGCTGGAGAACAATGGAAGGGTAAGTATTTTCTGTGGACAATAAATAAGGGACATGGGGAGAGCCGGAAATGCGACACAGAGATAAACAACCCGAGCCCACGCCTCTCCAAGCCCTGGATACGCAAACACGAAGAAACCCAGTTCAGATAGTCCGGGGCGGCAGCAAAGTGCCTGGAGCGTCTGCGTCTCCCACCGCCACCCCACGGGTACACACAGTCCGCCAGACATCCGCTCTTCAAAGCAGAGAAATATAATTTTTTACATGATTAAGATGCTACAGTTTACCCTGTAACCGTCACGTAAAATGTGGCAAAGTAAAAGAAAATAAGGATGGGGATGCTCCATTTCATATCAGACTAGAAAAGTTTGTTTTCTTGATGTCTTCATAGACAGCCTCCCACGATTTCAAATTCAAAGACCAAGGTGTTTTCCCTCAGCTGGAATCCCAAGGCCACGGGCTGTGGCCGCTCGGGTGCTCCTGTTCCGTGAGGGAACGGAACAGAGAGACAGTGATGAGCTGCTGGAGAACCAGAGGACAGAGCTGGGCCGGCGCCCCAAGAGTCAGCGCAAACGGGAGAGAAAGGGCTGAGGGACGGACCCCGCGGAGGGCCAAAATCCTGGCAGCTGCCGGGAGGGGTCTGCGATTTGCATATATATTTTCCTGGAGCCTCGAACCGCAGCTGGCGCTTACAATTTAATTTTGCTGAACATTCAACAGCTGTTTCCTTTTTCAATGCTAAACAGTGCACGGTTAAGGATATTCTAAAACTAAAGCTTTCTAACTACTACCAGTGTAACTTGGTGGTTTTTTTTTTTTTTAACAAGGGCCCAAACAATTTCAATATGGAGAACGTAGGTTCTGTGAAGCAGCACAGAAATGAGCCACATTTTAGCAGTGCAGAAACAGAACCTTGAAGGGGTAAGTGACTTATTGATCCTACACAAATAGTTTGTGACCGAGCTGGAAGTACGGCCCAAATGGCAATTTTCACTTTAAGTGTTTTAACCTCTTATAAAAATTTAAATGTCCCACAGACTTTAAAAGCATAAGTCGTAAAAGTGTAAGTGCAAAGTAGGAACATTTCCCGGAGATCCCGGAGGGACACAGGACTCGGCGTGCGCTGGGCTCTCTGTGGGGACAGAGGGGTGCGCGGAGAAGGCGGGTCTAGGCGTCGCTGCAGACAGCTGGGCAGGGCCCCACGGGCAGCAGGGATGAAAACCATGGGCGCCCAGGGCCACCAAAGGGCCATGCAGCGGGACAGCCTTGCTACTATGGAGGAGGGCTATTAAATAGAGACGGGCGCCAGAAGCTCTGCAGTTCCTGAGATCCAGGTCCGGGGAGTAACTGCCTGTGACTTTTCACATGTTAGAGCTGTTCTCACGGAACAACTGAGTTCTGGGCCTGCGGCTAGGTCGGTAAGTGGACTGGGCTCTAAGTGAGGCGTTGTATGCAGTGTGCACGTTACAGTGTTCAGAACAAAGAGATGGTCAAAGGGAACTCCCTCTTGATGACTTTGCCTTTACTTGTATAACTTACATGCAGCACTGTAACGCATAACAACGTAGAGCTAGTTCCTCTACTGTACAACACAACCGGCAACACTTACAGTACTGACAAGGGGTACTGTACAAAGACACCGAGGCTCTATAAGCAGGATGTGCAGAGCTGTACAAAAAAAAGATCCTACGTCCAAACAACGCACTGCCATCAGAAGTCTGAGTAGCTGTTAAACACTAGGTCATCAAATGAGGAATATTTGCATTTCAAACTCCCAGGTAAGGTGGCTGAGATCCAAGGCCACACAGCCATGCAGGACAATGACAGTGACACTCTCTACCATGTGCCAGACACTGAGCGAGGTCCTCAGCCTAAATCAGCTGCCCTAAACTGAAAGGAGAGCGCAGCTCCCCAAGCCCAAGAAGCTGTGTGCTTACTACACCAACTTAATACAGCTTTAGAGGAGAAGAAACTCACGCAATAGGTAAGCATCCACTCACTGCAAAATGGACCCCAGAAGCTGAATGACTTAGTGACAGAGTTGTCATTTGAGCTATGTCTCCTGGACTCTGGGGCCCTTGCGTGCTGGGATGGGGTGAGGTAGGGTGTCCTAAATGCTCCCTGCACACATCTTAAGACCCATTTACCCAAATCATGAGTAAACCACATCAGAGAATCACAACTCAAAATCAGTAGGCTGTTTTCCTACCTTTTCATTGGCAGAATCTCATCTGGATTTAGCTGACCATAAAGGAAAAAGTTTACTTCCAGAAAACATGCCAGGACCAATTCTTCATTTGTTCATTTCTAACATAGACTCACTTCCGAATATCTCTACACACCTAGTGGGATGGGAAACTGATTCAGAGATTTCATGGGATAATGATTTTCCCCCTTAAAAACCGTCATTAAATTGATGAGCTAATCACACAGCATCTCAGAATCGAGGAGCTGTGCTATGTTTTTCAGAGGATAAATACCTGGAAAATTTACAGAGGAGCCATTTTTAGAGATGTAGTTCTAGAAAATGGCTCTCATGGCACCCAGCACGTGTGTGACCTGCACCACAGGCACACTGTGACCCACCTATAACGCCACGAGAAATGAGGGCACCGCAGAAAACGGCTGCCAACTAGCCAGACCTGCGTTTCCCACATTCAACCCTGCAGGATCTGCCAGGGTCGCTAAGTCACTCAGCTTCCCCAGGGTCCATTTTTGTAGTGAACAGATGCTTACCTTGCATAACTTCGCTGCAGTAAGATGTATCCTGTAGGAGACAGGCTGTGATCTCACAACACTGAGCGTTAGGTGGAAGAGGGATTTCATTGCTTGCATGGTATTGCGTTTAACATTTGCAGATCATCTCATTTTTATTGGTGTGAAAGCAAGTTTTAACTTAAATACTGGGGTCACTTATAGTTTCACGAAGTTACTTAATTCCCTGACCTTCTTTGCCTCATCTGCCAAGAGAAATTATTAGTTGTAATTGTGATATAAGGATCATTACCTATCAAGAAAGATTATTCTAGAGTTCTTTCTGGAATAAAATGAGCTATGAAGAAAAGAACAAACAAAAGATAAAAAGCTTGTGGTATTCAATAATGGCAGTCTGCTTTCAGTAATGTTTTATGCTTCTTTCTATTGCAAGGCGGAGGGGGGGATTTTACTGCTGTAATCAACAAATATATGAAAATGACTTACAACCACCAATGGTGAGATATCCCAACGTGTCTAATTATTTCATCTGATTCAAAGTGGGAATCTGTAACAAATTAAAAACCAGAGGCATACAATTTCAAAGACAAGACTGCCCTGAATGAAAAAAATGAATATAATGCTAAGTACAGCAGGAGGCAATGACTCAGAAATTGCACGGCAGGACTGAATAACTCAGACTGTACCAGCCGATGCTTTCTTTATTTAGAGGAGATAAATTTCCCCAAAGTTAAGATAATGATCTTTTTATCCCTTCAGGAATTGTCTGATACTTTTCAAGAAAGAAGACTCAGAAATGGAAATCTAAAGGGAAAAAAGGCAAATAAATAAACATGCCTCACTTCACAGTACATTTCAGTATTTGTTCTTTTTTGAGGTCTTCGTTTTGCCGGATTGGAGTCTGTAGTTGAAAGTTACAAGAAGGGGATGCTGCTTCCGCCGGGGTAGAACTACTGCTGATGTGGGACGTCCTCCCTACTTTCTTGCACCCAGAAATCAAATCATTTGGAAAAATGTTAAATATTTATCTCTGAGATAAGTCACACAAGGGCTGATCTATTTAATGTTTTTTTTTTTTTTTTGGTTTTTTTCCGGTACCGGGAACCGAACTCACGACCTTGCGCTTGCCAGGCAGGCGCTTTTGCCGCTGAGCTAAATCCCCAGCCCCTGGGGGCTGATCTATTTAAAAGGTAAAGGTTTCTCCAGCACACTGGTGTTTTGCAGTTGTTCACCAGTGTATTTCCTCAGAGAGAACCTCAGAGTTCCATCGTGTTTCTTACTCTGTTAGGTCTCAGGGCCATCTCCCTAGTTTCTCCGTAATAGATACTTTTAGGCGAGGCGGTTCCCCGCTCCCATAGCCCAGCCTTATCTCCTAGGCTCCCTGACGCTCTGCTGTGGGTTGACCTCTGGCCAAAGAGCGACAGAGTTGAGGAGATGCCACCCCCAAAAAGCTGAACTGGTGATTATTCCAAGCTGAAATCGCTTGACTATCTGCAGCTGTAGAAAATGCCATTTGGCCGATCTTCCCCCGCATCCAGCAGTCATGGTGTTGCTCTTGGGAGGATGTCCTTCCCAAGTCCAGGCTGGAAAGTACCTTGGTCACCAAAATCTAGTTACTGAAGCTGTGCGAAACCCGAGTAAACAAGCCCTGAAGGAACGTTGTCCTCCGCAAGCTCTGCCCTTGCCCGCCGTATCTTCACAACGCCTCAGCACTTCTTACCCTCGGACAGTGACCGTCGGTCCTGCATTCCTCATTCCTTCACACACTGATTGCTCTTCATCTAAACAGCACGACAGTGGCAGGCTTCTGCCATTTCTTCAGACGTCGCTCTCTTGTGATGACCTCAAGTGCATTAACAAAATGTTTATGCTTTTCTCTCTCGTTACTCGGCACTTGTGCTAATGCAGCTAAGAGCCACATAAGACCTTAGACGGACTGCGGATGAGGGGACCTCTCTCTCCAGCAAGAGCTGAAGCACAGAGGAAGCTGAGACTTCCGCCACGTGCGGGCCCTTCATGCAGCTTCGAGGGCAGCTCTGGTTGGATGCCTCTCTCCTGCTCCCCCAGCTCTCAGCGGCCTGGCCCGCTCTGTATTTTCTCCTCTTACTATGTCAGCCCGGGGGTGCTAACAGCCTCCCCTCACACTAGTCCCTCTGTGTCTCTGCAGCGCCTGTTGGTTTTCTTGTTTGTCCTCCTGCCTTACATTTTCTACAATTCACAACGGAATGAGCAACCTGCTGCACAAAAGGATCCTGGGAGATATATCCAAAACTTAAATAAATCCTGAGGAAAATTTGCTCCATATTTCAACAATTCAGTTAGAGTACATTTTGGTATTTTGGTGTATTTCATATTCTATGTTTTTAAGGCATCTATTCCCCTCCTAGGTATCTTCCCCAAAGAGCTAAAGCCATCATCCCACAGTGATCCATGCGTTCCCAGGCTTATACCTGCACAGTTCATAACAGAAAAATCTTGGAAACCGCCTGTATGCCCATCAATAGATAAATGGATAAAGAAAATGTGGTATTTACGTACAGTGGAGTACTACTCTGCCGTGAAGAAGAATAAACTTGAGACATTTTGAGGTAAATGGATGTATCTTGAAATCACAATCTTAAGTGAAATAAATTGGACACACAAGTTTAAATATCACATTATTGTCCTTGTGTTAGAAACCCAAAGTGTAAATAAGGAGCAAAATGAAGATGAGTATTAGGAAGTAGGAGGAACATGTTCAAATGGAAAGGGGACCACGGGGGAGGGAAGGAAAGGAAAGGAGGAGGAATTTTTTTTTTTTTAAAAAGAAGGTAATTGAAGGGAAAAACGGAAACAGGGCTTTTGTAAATGGAGAGAAGGGAAGTGTTAAAGTGAGGGAGGGGAGTGGGAAAGGGAGACTTCAGACATGTCACGGCAGGTACAAACTCCCCATGAGGAATGCGATCATTGTGTATGCGAAACACGCACTAGTGAGGCATAAATAAAATATTTTAAAAGGGCATCTATTTGACCAAGTATACTGGACAGAGAACTATAGGAGGCAAGGATCACATGACACAAGCAGTTTAAATGATTCTTTATAAAAGCAATGGATTTCATTATCTTGTGATCGTGTGTGGCATTGTTTAGAATAAACAGAACCTCATGTAGGGGGAGGTAAGTTATTTTTGGAGATAATCGTTTGGCAGCTTGGTTATTCAATCTACTCCATGAAGCCTGACAACATGACGCATTTTCAGGCAGGAAATGTCGGAAAAACAGGCTCAGTCTTCGAACCCTCAGTGTCCCAGGTAATCAGAGTTATCAGTCTTCAATCCACTCAGAAACCTCACAGTTCATCAGCTCTGTACCTGTGCAGGACTAAACAGCAAGACTGCAACGTATTCAAATATCCTCAGCCATTTCTTGGGAGTACATCCTATATTTTGGTTTATAACATTTATAAAATTCCCTAATGTAGATTTTAATATGTATGTATCTTGAACGTGAAAATTAGGTCCTGTGAGTCATTATCTATGTGGGAAATCACTTAGGACAGAGAATAATCTTATGCAGGGATGAGGAAGCAGGGATGGTCCCCAGGCTGCCTGGACCAGGGACGGCCACAAAATCCCTTCCTCTTTTTCTTGCTTCTGTTCCTCAGCTGTCATTTATAATCATCTCCAAATGGTGTAAAAGCAATCAGGAAAAGCTTCAAGGAGAGACAGAGAGTTTTAATTCTAGAGAGGAGCTCTTGTTTGCTTAACTCGTAATCTATTACATGTCATTAATTTAGGGAAATAAAGCCACTCTGTACAGCATTAAAATGAGAACTAAGAGGAGAATAAAACAGAGAAACTCTCACAACACCATTTCCCATACTGTGAATGTAAGCCTATTAGAAGTAACTGCTTAAACTCCTCCAGGTAAAGCCTAAACTCAACTTGACAAGAGTAAAATTTAGTTCACACAAAAGAATACTAAAATAGCACACTTTAAAACAATATTCAGCTTCACAGACAGCAAGGGCAGCACAAATTGAAACACATATAAGGTGCCATCTCAAACCCACTGCAGGAGGAAACATAAATTAAAATAATAAATCTAATGCTGGCAGGGGTAGCAAGGAGTCATATAAATTCCTGTAACTGAGTGCAGTACACATAGAGACCCACCACGCAGCAGTCAATGAGGGACACAAAAGTGCTTGTGGCCCCAGAAGTAGTAATTTCAATTTTAGAATTAGTACCCTGAAGATACAACTCCAAAGGAAAAAAGTTTTATAAGCCACATTTTTAAAAATATGCCTTGAAGGGTGTGGAAATGGCCTTTCCCTAGTCGTGAATGAGTTGGCTAATGTTATTATGATAACATTTTCAAAAATCAAATTGGAAGTACATGACCTACATGCATGTTGACAAATCTAGACGTATGGATGGAGAGTTAAAAGGTGGAAATACCGCTCCTTGATTTAGGCACTGTACCCACTTTCATACTTTGAATAAGAAAACTAAAGCATAGGGTGGTTAAGTTCACTGTCAAAGGTGACAGAGGTAGTGGAGGGCAAACATCAGAAATCTGTGTCTCGGGCTGGGGATTCAGCTCAGTGGCAAATCGCCTGCCTGGCAAGCGCAAGGTTGTGAGTTCGGTTCCCGGTACCGGAGAAAAACCAAAAAAAAAAAAAAAAAAAAAAAAGAAATCTGTGTCTCTGGGAGCTGAAGCCCAGCTGTCTGCTCTAAGTAAGTGATAGGTCCCGCTTTCTCTAAATTTTGTGACAAGCTGAAAAAAGCAAACTATTTCAGTAAGATTCTGAGACTTGCCAAATGGAACTCATTAATAAATATGATGGTTTTATTTTTGGAAGAAAATAAAGGGTAGGGCCAGTTACTGCAAGATATGTTTTCAGGCATCTAAGTATTTATGACTTAGTTCGATAAAAAATGATCACTATGTAGATGGGAAAATGAATTCATCTGAGAGATGGATATTTCAGTATTGGTGCCACATTGCACTTAGCGGAGTGTAGGCACACTATGTTCCCATAAATAATTAAATGACTGAGTATATGATACTAGGGATTTATTACAGCTACAGACATAAAAAGAGTTGATCATAATTTCCTCTTTTCATTGAGGAGAATTCAAAGTTAATTTTATGGTGTCAACTCATTACGCAGTATACTCTTATAAATGCTAATGATTACAGGAAACCACCGCAATATTTAGCAAACCAGATCAGACTCCTTTCCCTGTCAACTCCCCCCACC